TCACTCAAAATGAGTTATTTAGGTCATAAATGACCTAAATACAAAATATTTTCATGGTGTCTGTCTGCCTGTCTGTAACACGATAACTCAAAAACCGCTTAACCGATTTTAACCAAATTTGGCACAAAAATACTGCGGCACCCGAGAATCTGGTCATTGTTTTTGGTCGGGGTGGGGGGTTGGTAAGGGGGTATGGGAGAGGGATAAAAATTTAAAAATATTGTAACTCCAAAATTACAGTAGCTAGCGAAACGCGGTTTTCAATTTAAGATTAAGAATAATATTTGCAACAAAATCAGTATAAAAAATCAACATATCAGTCAAACTCGCAGTTTTTGAGATAAAAAAAATCAAGTATGGGCGGCTGTACGTGCCTCCCGGCGCGATTTTTTTTAATTTAAGTTTAGTTTCTTAGAATTACTAATAGGTATATTTTAATTAAATCTTATACTAGGCTCGGCATTTCTAACCTGGGTGCCGATTTTCGTGTGTACGAAGGGTAAGGCCAACACGCTGAGTAAAACCTGATGTACTGAATAAAGACAGAAGAACAAGTATTTTCCCATGCGCATGAAATATAGCGTCGGATTAAGTGGTTATATAATAAATATTTTTAATTTTTGCTCTCTCCGACTTACTAGATTGCCATGGCCATTCACTCCTATACATGTAAACGCCGACCCAAGGTTTCGCTTGCCAAGATGATATATGTTTTCGAGATGGGTAAATCCGGTATTTTAAAAGAGCTGCATCCGGAGTAACTTGAAACTTCTTGGACCTGCATCCAGGTTCCAGTTCCGCCCGATCTATGTCATTCTGTAATTTTAATTTATCCAAATCTTATTTTGTGTAAAGCAATCCGCGTTTGAAAGTTTTGTAGTCCGTTAGGGAAATCTGATGTTTGCGTTTTGCCAAATCCTTTTTGCACCGAACTTTTCATACGTAAATATTTTACTCCATCAGCCTATCAACGGTGAAATAATAGTAGTACGATAAAAGACGTTTTAACACTTTTTTGGCAAATTTAATCTAGCCTTAATAAAAATATAATAGTACAAGAGCTAGCAACGTCAGGAAAACAAGAATTTTAAGAAAGCTGGTTCTTTAATATATCTTCGGCTATGCTCTCCTGTGCTCTTTTGACCAAAGTGCGGTAAATCTGGCTGTCGCGCCGGTAGAATACTGCGATTCACTACTGCGCATCACATCTGAACAGGGTATCCCATTTTCATGTGTTTTTTTTTGGTATTTTACGTTTATGAGTACAAAAAATAGAATGATGCGATTTTAACATTACTTTACTACTTTTTTATGAAACTAAATATGCTACACATATGTTTATCCTAGCCCCCTAGTTCCTGAAATACTGGGCGTATTTGTGATGCGCAGTAGTAAACAGATGAATACAGATATGATGCGCAGTAGTGACGAAACGTCTACCGGCAGCCAGACGGTCCGCACTCTGATCAGGAGGGCCTAACAAAAGATATATTAAAGAACCAGCTTTCATAAAATTTGAATATCTTCGGCTATGCTCTCCTGTGCTCTTTTGACCAAAGTGCGGTAAATCTGGCTGTCGCGCCGGTAGAATACTGCGATTCACTACTGCGCATCACATCTGAACAGGGTATCCCATTTTCATGTGTTTTTTTTGGTATTTCACGTTTATGAGTACAAAAAATAGAATGATGCGATTTTAACATTACTTTACTACTTTTTATGAAACTAAATATGCTACACATATGTTTATCCTAGCCCCCTAGTTCCTGAAATACTGGGCGTATTTGTGATGCGCAGTAGTAAACAGATGAATACAGATATGATGCGCAGTAGTGACGAAACGTCTACCGGCAGCCAGACGGTCCGCACTCTGATCAGGAGGGCCTAACAAAAGATATATTAAAGAACCAGCTTTCATAAAATTTTCTGTCGAAAACAGTGCTAGTTCTTAGACTATAAGTAAAACAGCGAAATCGTTATGGAAATAAAAATATAAAATGACGACAATCACAAGCAAATCGTACATCCGATGAACGGAGGAATGAAAATGCAATAAATTTAAAAGTCTTTAAATTCGACCAATCCGCGTTTAAAACTTTTGTAGTCCGTTAGGGATAAAATTTATAACCATGAATCAAGGTATTACAAACTTTACATACTATAAATAATAAAAGATAGTCGAGACTGCCGCATAGGGAATGCTTCATGCTAGAAACAAAATGATCAGCATCTCTAATATGCTTACTCTTAAGTGCTCTTATATGTTATATAGTTGTTATATCTTTAATTTTCATGTTTTAATGTTACTTTTTAATTACATTCATAATTACATTAATGTCATATACGATAAAAATAGTATAACATACTAAATATATTCACTTTCGATAAATAGCGCATTTAATTAGATTTAAAATATTTAAATGTATTTTCGTCTCCTTATTATTTAAAGGGTCGACTGACGTGACGTCCATGGTGATCACCGGCTTAGTCTTTCAAAAGGAGCGGAAAAAAGAACGAGTTTCTCTTTGACTGCAGGTCAAACATACACGAAACATTCCGTAACAATTTTGCCCATAACCATAACAATAAAAGTTGTTTTATTGGCTGGACTTATGTTACGTATATCGGGTGTCAAATTTTATCAATATTTTTGATAAAGTTTGGCGATGTAAGATTTACATTAATTCAATCCTCTGTAAAAAAATATTTACATGTATATCTACGATAAAGGGTGTTTCAAAAAACATATGCCATCTCTCATGGGGAGATTTCTCATGCAAAAATAAGATTTATTTTTCGTATCAGCATAGGGCAAAAGTTACAAAGTCTTACTTTTTTTCGATTTATTATAATTTTCTTCCAAACCTTTATAGAGTTTTGCATGAAATTTTGAGGGTAGAAGTTACTATAAGGTGACATATTTTGGCATGATTCACCAAGGACGTGCATATGGGTTATCAGTGGAATATTTTGCTAAAGAAACATGTGCGCCACTGACTTTCTTTCTTTTCCAGACCGTTTAATGTCGATTAAAAGTATATCGTATAAATAAAATATACTCTGTATTCCCTATTTAACCCCGTATGCTGTTTCATACATTCACATAACCAAGCTCCATATTAATGCTGCATAAGTCTATTACACCCGGATATCGATAGAACTACGATTGATTGTTGTTTTAGTTTTGTTTGGATTCCTTTTTGTTTGTGCGTGTAAAGGAGCAATTTTGTTTAGTTTATTGTGTCCAATTATTTTCTATATAGCTTCACAATAAATAAATAATAAAAAAAATAAAAAAAAAAACCGAAACTGACAAAATATCAAGAGACAACTTTTAATCGATATTAAACCGCCTAAACAATTTTGCTAGTAAGAGAAAAGAGTTGCCATTTCAGCCCTGAACTGCTCAGCTATTTTTACTAAGAGACATTTTTTATATAAAAAAAGACGGAAATGTATATTTTTTTATTCATTAGTTTTAAAAAGTTATTACTCTTCAAAACAGTTAAAACACATGTACGTGCGCCCCCTACAAGTAGAAGTCATATTGATATCTAAATCAAATTTCGCATGTCATGTCAAAAAACACCATTTTTATCCAAATATAGACAATAGTTCAGAAATTATGTGGAAAAACCGGAAATATAAATTAAACTTCTACACCCTGTATCTCCGAAACGAAGAATTTTAGGACATATATTTACTTATTTTTATCTGCAGAATATGCCGCTGATGTTTCCGGGATACAATTCCGACCACCCTGACCTTCGCATCTGAGTATCTGAAAATTACTGGAGCTAGAGTCAAATAGCGAGTGAATATCTGCGAAAGCGTTAAAAATTTGAAATACTCTACATACAAAAAATGTTCATTTAATTCTCCATATATTGAAAAAATAATATAACCTAACCTAACCATTTAGAAAAACGAAGAAAAATTATTTTATGTTTTAGAAAGTTTGCGAAGAATTTTGAACATCCTGTGTATGATTTAAGGTTATCATATTTATAGAAAAGTTAAGTACAGACCATCTAAAGTAAATACCTAATATAATTTTGATTTCAGGACAGTTCTTGTATTTTAATAACTTTTCTAAGAAAGGCAGAAAAATACATATTTTTTATTTATTTATTAATATCTCTGAAACTATTGAAATATATATACTCATATTTTAGGATTATGTAAAGTGATCTGAAAGGAAGGCAAAAATGCAATAATATACAGGGTGTTCCATTTAAAAAAAATCATCTCGATTCACTCACACTTTTTTGAGCCGCCCTATAGAAGTTAAAATATTTTCCTTTTATATTGCCGGACCCTGTATAGAATGTGCTTAATAAGACCAAAAAGATTTAAAAAAAAAACTCTGGTCAATTATGAAACAAAATACTCTGTATTTTGTATCATAATCCCATTTGAAATAGTTTAGAAAAATACAACATTTAGTTTTGCCTCACCCTATCACTATACATATGTCAAACAATATTGCAAATTTTGAAACCAAACCAACCAATTTTAAAAAAGACACTATTATACAATACTTTCTGTCAAAAAACAATTAAATTCTTTGAATTTAGAATTTTCAGAAAGCTTTAAATAAGCAGAAAATTTAGTTTAAAAACGGTTATATTTAAAATATCACTCTGTATAGTATATGACATGATGGTATTTTTGGAATGAAAATTTAACGGCACTAAGCTAAAAAAATATATAGAATTTTATTTAAAGAAATAAATCTTTAGTTTTAAAATATGTTTGAATCATCCTGTATATTGACAAAAATGTTTTCATAATGTGCGTTACCATTAATATCATTATATCAATAAGTAAAAAATTTGAAGTGAAAATTACAAACCAAAAACCTAATATAGAGCTTGTTTGGGTCACCGTGTAAATAAAAATAAAAAAAAAACGTATACATAAAAACACAGGTATGTTTGCACGCACTTCGATACAATAAAAAACCCAAACCTATTCCTATTGTGAACGTGATATTAAAAATAAATATGCCAGTTTAAAAGATTCACGACGATGGCTATGAATGAATATGTCATTACAACAAATGTCAGTAATACATAAAAAATCTGCTATCTGTCACCGTTGTCAAAAAGATTTTTGTGCGTTAAACTTATTGTAGTGAGGTGTTCTGTGATTTTCTCGGTAGGTGAACAATTTATTGTTGGATTTGCGTAATTTACGGCGTAATCACAATCATGTCGATAACGAAAATACCACCGATCACTATGAGCAAACTGTACGTAGGGAATTTGCCCACGGAAACAAACGAGAATGCCCTTCGACAACTGTTCCTCGAACAAAACCTCTCCTGCACCAACATCCTAATCAAAAGGGGTGGTTACGCCTTTGTCGACTGTCCCGATCAATCTTCTGCAGATAAAGCTATTGATAAATTGAATGGTAAGTTTAGTTGTTTTAAATCACAATATATTCCTATCTGATAAAACGTAAAAACACAACAAAGCAATTTTTGCAGAATTAATTTAATGAAAGCCGAACATTATCTACATATTTATGCTTGTTTTAATTATATTTCCTATACTTTTTTCCAAAATCATATTTCCTTTTGTTAGTTTCTTTTTAAACCTATATAATACAAAATACAAATATGTTTTAAATTTGATCCGGTCTTTTTAATTAATTCTTTTTATGTTTCAAAATGATTAACAACGGCTAAACATCTATTATGGAAGTAAGTAATTTTTATAGAGTTTATGTTAATTTACCATGAAATGTCAAAATTTTAGTATCATCTCTGGTGTCATTTTTTAACGTTTTTGCAAGGATAAAGATTCAAATACTAAGTTAAATTACTCCTTTAAAAAAGAATTATTTTAAATATTTGAATAAATAATAATGTAATAGGAAAACTATAATAATATGAGTATTGTTTACAAAAGTTTATGTTATAATTATTAAAATATTTAATTCAATCTTGCCAAGACCTAGATATACCGAGTGCGTCTCAAAAGTGGCTCACCCTTATAACTTTTTTTATTTTTTTAGTTAAAAAAAACGAAATTTGGTATGTTAGTATATGACATAAATTAGGATTGATTGACGTATTCATTTGTTTTTGGTCACTTCCTGTTTCACCGAAAATGACTACAACTTTTGATTTTTAAATAGCACCCTTAGTATATTTCTACTTTATTTGATAGAAAAAGACACTCTGAATAGAATGACATGTCATATGTCAACTTTTGATATTTTCGCATATAGTTTATTTGAAAATTGTAACATGCGGTTCATAACGACAATTTGACTCAAATCATCAAGTGTGTGGTACCAAAGTATTCGTAAAAAATGCTTTTTCCAAATATGCTAATGAGCCACCCTTGTTCCATTTGAAAAAATAAAAATAAAAAAAAATTGTTTCCTTAGCAAGTACAAGTGACTTCCCTTCCAGCTTTGGTAGCGTGAACTTGGGTATCTTGTATTTTCTTGTAAACAGAATGAGTTCGGTTTTGTCTGGGTTGATGTCCAAACAATTCTTTGCCCATTCCGTTAGCTTCTTCAGAGCAGATACCATGATATCACTGATCGTCTGCATGTCTTTGCCAACGATCAGTATTACCACTTCGTCTGCATATGCCTTTATCCTAATTCCCTTCATTGTCAGAGGGGTCAGGGTCGGGTTCATTAGAATCAGCCACAGCAGAGGTGATAATAACCCTCCTTGTGTGGTGTGCCTCTTGTTGCGCACTTTTTGGCTGAGCTTTTCCCCATCTCCGATGTTATAGTCCTGTTCTCTAGCCTTTCTAACACCCAGTTGATGGTTAACTGCTCTACCTTTAGTCCTTATATATCTAAGAAAGCCACTAATGTGTATTCGTTATTCTTGACGGATTTTTCAATTGTAGCTACGACCCAATGCTGAGCACTTTTGACTGACTTACCTTCAAGATATGCGTGTTGCGCTAAAATTAGTGTGCCAACTAAAATTCCGTTACAATAAGGAAATAAATTGAAGATTTGTGATTATAGTGATATATAATTTTATGGTTTTGTAACAAATTGCTCGCTATTTTATGGCAAATGCTGAAGCTCTGCAAACCTTAATCAAGCCTTAATCAAAGCACGTGTGTTTTTGTGTGTGGCTTAATATTACAGGATCGGTCTAAACCTTAGGCAGTTGTCCTTGGGCATTTCTGAATATAATATATTATACACACATGGCCAAAATTGTTGCATATATCGTTTAAAAATATACGGAAAGGAATTTAAACAATCTTTTTTTACACATAGCTTTGATAATCTGTAATAATTTTTTTTTGTTAAAATGGATATGGTAAACAATATGTATCGTTCAGACTCAATATTATTACAGATTCTTGCACATTTCGATTTGTGGTCTCTTGGGTTTCAGAAGAAATTTGATCATTGTTTTGCTCTTAAAATGTCTAGAAACATTATTTCACAGTTTAATAGAGTCAGAATAGTAACACTGTCTCAACAGGGCTACCGGCAAGTTACAATAGCTGAAGTTGTAGGAGTTAACCTAAGCGATGTTTCGCAAATATTTAAAAAAAATCAGGAAGACAAACGAAGTTACACACCGGCCTGGAAGAGGCAGAAAGAGAGTTACTACTGCTGTGCAAGACCGTCAAATATCCCTAATTGCACGACGCAATCCCCTGCTTTCTAGCACTGCTATTAAAAATGAGTTAGCTCGCCTTGAAGGAGTAAATGTTTCAAGAAAGACCATAGCAAGAAGACACCATGACAGAGGATTACATTTAAGAAGGCCTCTACGTGTTCTGAAGCTTAATTTACAGCACAAAATTACGCGACTACAATGGGCTGAGGTTTGGTTTGGAGCAAATGGACTTAATTGGAATTTCGGCATGTTTAATGATGAAACAAGAATAGGCCGTGTCAGACTCGCGAGGACCTTTGGTCTGGAGAGCATCTGGAAGACGCTCTTGGTCTGGAGAGCACCTGCATCACGCTTGAATGCAGCCCAACCACGTGTCCCGTTTCAAGAGGTTATGGTATGGGTATAGGTATACGTTTATGGTATAGGCAGGTATAATGCACGGAGCTCGAACTCCTTTTAGAGCCTATTGCGTCCATTTCGAGGGGCAGTGGGAGATGAATTTGTTTACATGGACGATAATGCTCCTCCCCATCGCACTTTAGCAGTTCGCGAATTTTGTGAGGAAGATAAGAAAACTGTGATGGATATAAGAAAAGTGTGGTGGCCACCGATGTCTCCAGATATGAATGTAATCGAGCATGCTTGGGACATGCTAAAACGTCATATTGTCAAAAGGAATGATCCTTAAATGAATTGAAAATTTCTGGGCGCAAAACATGGGAAGACATTCCTCAACATCTTCTGGACAACTTAATTGAGAGCATGCCACGTCGTCTCACAGCTTGCATTGAGGCTCGAGGAGGCAATACGGACTATTAGTTGTGAGAAATAATTAAAATTGTTTTCAATATTTTCTGTTTAAAATGAAATTTGTTTTTGTTGATTTTCACTCATGAAATAAAATTATAATAACAGCCTAGTTGCACTTAGATTTTTAGTTAGTCGTGTAGTAAGCCAGTATGTCCAAAAATATAAAAAGAATCATATTAGGTCCAAAATAAAATAAAAATATCGTTATATGCAATAATTTTGTCCATGTGTGTATTTCCTTCGGCCACACACCCACTTTACTCGACTCCTGAGAACAATCCGAATGTACTGAGTAATAGACTCTTAATCAAAATTAATATTAACCATCTATCAAAAAAATAACAAAAAATTAAATTACTATAGAAGCCCATTTTGATTTTTAGAACATCCCCAACAATATTGTTAAATTCAGAAACAATATTTCTTAACTATCTTAACTATAAATACAATAAATTATTTTATTTTATTATATAAAAATACTTATATTTTTTTTAATTCGTGCTATTTATTGAACATAATATAAATTTGAACAGATAACTAATATATAATACTACACATATATTATGTATTTTCGTGTTCCTAAATCGAAGTAAACCACAATCTGACTGGTTTAAATGTATGATACCTACCGGCAGTCGCATTCAGCTAAACCGGACGTACCTAACTAGAAAGCACCCTATAAAAGGGGTATACAACACGCTAATAATACAGTACATAACAAACGTTCAGGTGAAATATATTATATAACATTTTAAATTGTGTATTATGTTACATAAGGAGTGCGTTTGTCGTAAATCAGACAAAATGGCGAATGAATTTAGTTTTAATTTAATAAATTTGTTCATATCAACACAGCATTAATACAACAAACTAGTAAAATCTAAAGGACGAAAATATTTTAATGAGCACTATAACATATATAGGGGGTAACTATAACATACATAAGGGTATTTCTCTAAAGTGGCTCACTCCTGTCACTTATTTTTTTGTTTTTTTTTCAAATAAATAAACGAGATTTGGTACGTTAGTATATGACATAAATTAGGATTGATTGACGTATACAATTGTTTTCGACCACTTCTTGTTTTACCGAAAATGACTACAACTTTTGATTTTTAAATGGTACCCTCCGTATGTATTTTTTTGCTTTATTCGATAGAAAATGACACTCGGAATAGAATAACATATCATATGTCAACTTTCGACATTTTTGCTGAAACAAAAATCGTATTTTAAATTTCAATCTAGAGTCCCATGACGGTGTTAAAAACACTAATTTGTAATGAAGGATATATGGCCAAGAAAAAATAGATTTGATCCTCTAATGTTTTTCGTCTTCTGGTAGGTTTGGTAGGTCAAAGATAGGTACTCAAATCGTATTTTTAATCATAACTCAATATTTTCAAATAGAGGGTGTCTCATTAGCATATTTGGAAGCAGCATATTTTATGAATAATTTGCACACTTGATATTTCGAGTCAAATTGCGTCGTTACATTTATGACCACTATAAATTGAAATTTAAAATGCCAAAAGTTGACATAATATGATATGGCATTCTATTCAGAATGTCATTTTCTATCAAATGAAGTAAAAAATGCCGACAGTATCATTTAAAAATCAAAAGTAGGAGTCATTTCCGGGGAAACAGGAAGTGACCGAAAGCAATTATTTAATACGTCTATCAATCCTAATTTAAGTCATATACTAACATACCAAATTTCGTTTTATTTACCTATGTGAAAAAATAATAAAGTTAAGGGGTGAACCATTTTTTTTTAAACACTCGGTATAGATAATAACTTTATTATCGTAAATGAATCTCTACACAGGCAACAACAGTAATGTTGTTATTTTGTTATGATCGAACTTTTACATTAATATGCAATGTGCAGTATGCATGTCGTAAAATAAATTTGAATAAATAATATTTAATATGTTTTAACTGTGAGAAATAAAGAAAGCATTAATTTTATATAAATCATGGGTATTTGACGGAATTAACTGTGAGAGTTTGTGCAGAAATAGCCTTTCAGATTAAGACAAAAATTCAAAGATTAGACAGACAGCCCTAATGATAACATTGTATTAACTGTAAATTATTTTGAATGTGAACGGAAAACATTGTAGAATAATGTTTCGTTTTTAACTGTGTACAAAACTTTAACTTTATGTACCTACCTTTGCCCCTCATCAATGGTTAGGCCAAAATTGCATTTAACCATTAACCATTGCCTGTAGGTAATTTGATCAGGATCGATTTTGTATATATAGGTTATTTTTTAGGTTCCTATTATAGTTACGGAAGTAGCTGTCATATTGTAATGACAATATGCCAGACCAAGATCTCCTTGGTTTCGCAGTCTAATGCTGCTACTTATAAGTAGTCTTGGTCATAGAGAAATATAAAATAAATTATTATATTTATTTTAGTTACTTTAAAACCAGGTCTTGCAGAACTGCAGAACCCTATGTTGGTCTAGTTCAGTGATGGCGAACATATCCTCGTAGATATCACGAAGTTGCGTAACTAGTTTTTTAATATTTTTATAGCGGTTTAAAAGTTTTGACGATTTTTGTTTCATTATCAACCGAGTTATCAACCAAAATATATTGCAGTCACAACAAAAAAGAAACACAGATGCACACAGTGACTAGAATATATTTTGATTGGTACCTATTCAAACAAAAGTCTTAAAAAAACTTTAAACCGCTCGCGCTCTTCTGAAAAATATTAAAAAATAAGTTGCGCCACTTCCTGATATCTACGACGAATATGACACGCGTGTCAATGCTCACACGCGAGCTCATTTTTGGTTACACCCATCTTCAAAGATACAAAATTTCATAATTCAAATATTTGTCTCGCATAACGACCAGAAATGGAAAAAATAATAAAACAAATAATTAAATTCTGAAATCAGATGTACGAGATATTCTTTGTGTTGGAGAAATATCTTCTGTACAGGGTGGCGCCTCTCATACGCCGCGGAAGCTCCTAGGAGAACGGTAGTTTGTATCGAAATGAAATTTTGACTGCGTATGTACGTTAACCGAAAAATTTTTTAAAAATATATACAATTATGATAAATGACACAAAATGATAACTAGTTGTTAAAGTTGGACTAATTAGACAGCTATGTTGAAGTAACGTCAGACATATCACAGCCACCTAGATTTTATCAAATAATAAAGATCTACTCAGATCAAATCATTTAAATGAAAATATCTACGAAAATCTTTGTTTGAGGGGTAGGCAACCTTAATAGTATTTTGAAGAGACATGAATTCTCCATTGAATATCGGAATAATATACTGGGTGTTTAAATAAAAAGAGTAACATGCTTTAAAGGTGACCAATGCTCAATATTAATTTTGTCTCACCCTGTATAACTTTTTGGATCGAGTTTTAATTTGATTTAAAGTACAATAGTTAATTGAACTACATATTAGACTATACCGCGTAAATTACAATTTAGGTAACTTTTATGGTAGTTTAAAAATTGTTCTTTATTTCTAGAAAATGTTAAATATTATGTCAAAAACCTTACATTTTAGTCATACTTCTCTTATAAAACTCACCTTTATTTTTCTCCCAGAATCCTAAAATCAATTAATATATAGGGCGTTAAATTAAAAAAACAAAACTTTGATATGTTACTTTTTTTGGGGACACCCTGTCAAACTTTCTATATTTTTAAAAGGTGCTCTAAATTAACCTACATATACTCACAAAATTTCATTTCAATACAAACCGTCGCGCGTCGTTCTCCTTGGTTGTGCAGAAATAGAGGCGCCACCCTGTATATTTGAATCTTATGATACCAGTAATCAGTTTGTTTTTGTAGCCCTGTGATGGAGAATTAAAAAACGAAAATTGATTGATAAAGGTAGTAGTAGAAATTGTAAGTAGAAGTAGCCGTCATGCAATTTCAAGACATATGGACCGAAATGTACGGGATTGTTGACAGAAACAACATATCTTTTTTTAATCTTTACTTTGTGTGTGACACGCCACGAAAATTATGTTTCGATTTTTCAAAATTTTGACACACCGAGCTCAAAAGGTTCGCCATCACTGGTCTAGATCTTGGGCTTGCTGCAAGACTCTTGTAGTTTTTTAATAGATCTATACTAGTGATACTTCCTACAAAGAAAATCTTTAGATAAATAGTTTTTCAAATAATTTAAAGCATTCTACTTTTTAAACAAACAAGTAGTAGTATTTGCAATTTTAATACTAAAACCCGCAGACAGCAAGTATAAAGTATACAGGGTGTTTCAAAACAAATGCGAAAAACTCTAGGGGGTGATTCCTTGTTCGAAATAAAGGGTAGTTTGCTTTATAAACGTTGGGTCAAAAGTCAACCATTAGGGAGACAGATATCGCGGTACAAAGATGGCGGAAAAATAATGTTTTTATTTTTTATCTTGAAAACGAAAAGAGATAGACTAATGAAATTTTATGGAAGCATTACTGTTATGAAAACACACTTTCAGGTAATTTTTTTACTTTTTTAAAATGAGTGGAAGGGGTTGAAATAAACTACCCCGATCATTCTTGTTAACGAAATTTAAGGAAAAATCTTATCAAACACATGCAAATGCTTTAATTTGGATAGTTTAGTTTGTTTAGAACCTTTTTTACCTCTTGGAAATCCACCGATTGGAAATTAAAAAATAAAATGTAAAGCATTACATGTCAGGACAAAAAACATTTTCTGATAAAGAATCTAGTAGGCTGCTGTAATTTTTTTAGGAAAAAAATCTAGTCGGCCGCTGTTACTTTTTAGGATGTTCCTAATATCATTTTATTTGACATTAGTCTACTGCAATACGTTATTATCTAGATGATTATTATTATCGTTATTATCACTAGATTCTTAATCTAAAAATGTTTTTTGTCCTGACATGTAATGCTTTACATTTTATTTTTTAATTTCAAATCGGTGAGTTTTATCAAAAAAATACAAGAGATAAAAAAGTTTCTAAACAAACTAAACTATCCAAATTAATTTTTTTGCATGTGTTTGATAAGATTTTTCTTTAAATTTCGTTAACAAGAATGATAGGGGTAGTTTATTTCAACCCCTTCCACTCATTTTAAAAAAGTGAAAAAATTACCAGAAAGTGTGTTTTCATAACAGTAATGCTTCCATAAAATTTTATTAGTCTATCTCTTTTTGTTTTCAAGATAAAAAATAAAAACATTATTTTTCCGCCATCTTTGAACCGCAATATCTCCCTAATGGTTGACTTTTGACCCAACGTTTATGAAGCAAACTACCCTTTATTTTGAACAAGGAATCACCCCCTGAAGTTTTTCGCATTTGTTTTGAAACACCCTGTATATAATATTTTTTTTTTAAATTAGAAAACAATCCTCCCAAACATTGTATGCCAAATTATATATTTTATTTTTGTTTCAGGTTTTAACTTCCATGGTTCCCCATTAGTTGTCGAGCCTTCAGTAGCATCTGGTAAAAGGAGGTAAATATTCATACGAATCTATTTTAATATTAATTATTAGGAGTTAATACATTTATTTATTTGATATCTGGTATGCTATATCAACAAGAGCGAGCAAAAATTCCCTTTTGATTGTATGATATAAAAATATAAAATAATATGTTTGCCTAACCCTCACCAGCATATAAAACTTCTCAAGGATTTACAAACAGATATATCTAAGCTACCACAGATACCTAAGTAGAGCTAAAGTCACTCGATTCTATTGTATCTATAGTCAATTTTGAACTAGTGTGGGACTGTGCGCGTGCTCTAGATACATAGAGAGAACATGGGTCTAGCAATGTTACTTTACTTCAAAAAAGTATTGGGTATTTCGCCACTTGCACTGTAAGAAAATCTACAAAATGAAATAGTAATTTTTTGTAAACACTGCTGGCGTTAATTCAACGGAGACGAACTTGCCAGCAGTGATTTATTAATAAGCAGACTTATATCTAGAATGAGTGGGAGGGGGGTTAATCATTTCGACCTTACAGATCCATTGTGTCCCCCTTATTAATAAACAGACTTATACCTAACGAACAAATGAATGCTTAACGTTTCGGGAAGTATACCCCTTGCCGGAAGCAAAAAAAAACACAAAGAATAGAGAAAAAAACTATTTAAAATATCTAAATAAAACTACTCAAGATCATTTTTTTTTATTCAAGAACACTCTAGTTTTTTTTTCAACAGGTACAACAGAGGTACGTCTATAAAAACCATTGATATTCTATCAAGTTAAACTTCATAATTCACAATTACCTGATAATAATTACTTAATGAGGTAAAACCAAAAAGCCTCAAACTTTCTGTATATGCTTAATTTGTTTTTATTTTTACTCATGATATGTTTATTCAGGGGTGGATGGGCCATATGGGAAAATTCCCGGTGGGCCGGTGGAAAAATAGGCCGGTGGGCCGGTCCCGATGAGAGCTCAAAAAAGATTGGATTAGCAAAAATTAAATGGTTAATCTTCTCACTAAAGTGACGTAAGATCCTTAGTGACTCCATAACTAACTAATCAATTTTCATCAGTATAATAGTCAGTTGCTTTTAAACATAAACACCAATTTGTAAAATAACTATTGTAAAACGTCTTTCTCTGGGACACTTATAATTTTAATAATCATCTGTTGTTTGTTCGGTTTGAAAATTTTTATTATACAAAGTGAGTCTATAAGGAACAAATATTTTCAGGGCTGGTAGATCTCAATAAAATAAACATAATATATTTTCTTTATCAAGTTTCAAATAAGTCCAATAGAGTTATTAAAGTTTGTAAATTAAAAAAAAATATATTTTTTTTAAATTTGAGCCACCTCAATTTCGTTGTTTGCATTTCTTTTAGTGCCGTAATATCAGATATTAAGAAACTATATACCGTGGGAAAATTTACGGTGAACAGGAGTTCTAAAAAGTTTTCTAAAATATACAGAAACATTTAAAAGAAAATGCTCGATTTTTATCACCTTTTTTGCAAAAAAAACTCATAGACGTGTTCCTGGGGTCGAAATATACCATCCCTGAAAATATTTTCACTTATTTAACACTCACCCTGTATAGTTTTACCCAATATTCTTTTATTAATAACTAATAAATATGACTGACTGGCAGCAAAAAAAGAATGAATAGCATTAGGTAAATTTAAATAGTCTCGATCTAAATGTACGGTAGCGTAGATTGACAATTGGGGACCTCGGTGTAATATTTTTCGAGCTCCACTTTGTAAGAAGGTAGACGAATTTGACGCGAACTCTGCGGTTGACGGAGAAAACATATCTATGCTTGGCTTGAATTGGGGACGGAACTAAAAGCCAAGTTTAAATTGTTGTTTAAAATGTTGCTACAATGAATTTGCTAAAAATTACTGAGACAGCAGAGAAGAGTTAAATAACGTGTAAACTAGATTAGATAATAAAATATTAATATGTCTTGAAAATCCAAATATTCGTATTATGGGCTGTAACATAACATTACATCAGAACACATTTATATCCACTGCCTAGGTATTGCCTAGGTTCTTCTAGTTTGAGTCATGGCATTATCATACAAGATGCCAAATGTACAAAAGTATAGAGGAAAAGTTTCGTGATAAGAACTATATAATAACCTAAAACATGCTCCAGTTTTAATGGCGACCGCGGTTCATTCAGTTAAAAACACGTGTACACGAGGAGGCTGCTGCTGTAGCAGAAAAGAGAGAATTTCTTTCTACAATGTGTAAGAAAGTATATACCCGAAAAGCTAAAAGTAATATACTTCACAGAGGATTGGGTCAGCTGAACTGAATGAATCAGGAAGTCTTAAAGTTTCTCAAAATCGTGACTCGTAGCCTATTCAAGATCAAATTACCGTTATCGATAATGGAATAATGGAAATAAAGCAGTAGAACCCTGTAAAACTGAGCCATTTTGTAGTAAAAATTCAGATGTCCGACCCAGTATTGGTCTTTACAAAATTTTTGATCAAGACAATTTAATTTTTTTTAAAAAACCGGAGGCAAAAGACCTTTTTCGCACGAGCGAAAAACACCCTTACTTCTATACAGGTTGTCCCAGAAATAAGTGCAAGTATTTTAAGGAGTGGTAGATCTCGATAAATGAAACATATTTTCTCTTCATCGCTTTTCAAATAAGTCCAAAATAACGCAGTTATTTCACTTTGAAAATTTTCAAAAACAAATATTTAATTAATATATATTTGACTGTATTAAAAAAAACTCTTTTATTTTTCCTTCAAAATAATTTTTGTGTTGTTTAAATCTACCGCATGTCCTGTGTCCCATGAATGCCGACAAATCACAGATTTGCGAAAATCGCCCTTTCTTAAATAATAATCCTTATACTCTTTAATTCGAATATTTAAGGGTTTAGATGTTTTACCAATATAAAATTTATCGCATTCACATGGTATTTTGTATATTACATTTTTTGTTTGTTGTTCAGTATTCATTGGTTTAATGACTGATAAAATGGATCTAAGTATATTTTGTGTTTTGAAGAATGTTCGTATGTTATATTATTTTCCTACCCTTCTTATTTTCCCCGAAATTCCTCGTAACATATGTATGGAATTATAAGTTATATTGTGTATTGTTATCATTGTGTGTATTCTGCCTATGGTTTGGGGTTTGTATTAGCGATGGGAACTATCGAATGAATTAGACTATCGAATGGTTACTGAATGAATGATTTCAACTATCGAATGGTTTTATTCGAATAAAATCATTCATTCATTTGTATACTAAAGCATATGTGACAACCTCGCCGTGCGACTAAATGGTTATCGTTGACTATCGAATTCTTTTGATAATGAAATTTAGTATTCGTTTGATTTTGTGTGCGTCAGTGCATTATTAGTTCTTCAAATTTTTATAACTTCGCCTTGTAAATACTATGCAATTTTTGCGTTTATTAAAATATTTAAAATACTAAAATAGTAGTTTTTTTTAATTGACGATTGTGTGCGAAGTGGTCATCACACAAATTTTTCCGAAAATTTGTGTGATTTTCCGTAGCCCGATCTTTCAATTATTTAATTTTATATGGTATATTATGGTTAGGTTAGATTGCATTTTTTTAAAGGGAAATTTTTAGCAGAAGTAGCAATTTTTAACAGAGATGAGATGAACTTACAATTAATTTTAAAAATACATATTTGTATTTTAGATGTTTTAATAATATGAATTAGTTGGAACTTAATAATCATATTTAAGTAATGTGGTTAAGTAAATGGGGTTATCGAACTCAAACTATGGGGTGAGAAAAATAAAATGAAAGTTTTACACGTGCCAATTTAAAAAAAAGGTTAACAATGTTTGTATTTTGTTTATGTTAATTCTCTTACATGTAGTTTTTTGCGAAGAAATATTTAATTTATTTCTTAAAGTAAATGCCAGTAAAAGTAAATATAATTTTTAAATAGTAATTATAAAGCACCTAATATAAATAATTTTGATTTCTAATTTTTTATTTATATTTTCCTTCCATTACATTGCATGCTTAGAAAATTAATAAATGTTTATATTTCATGATTTTAAAATTTGTTGTTAATATAACAAATTAGTTCTGTAATTATTATTCTTTAATAAACCAACGTTGCAAAAAATTTAGAGACTATATTATTTTTAAATAGGATCTAATATAAATAATTTTGACATCTAATTTGTTGTTTATATTTTGCTACTACTTAAAATAATGTTTATATTAAATGATTTTAAATTTTGTTGTTAATAGGTATAACAAATTATTACTGTTATTATTATTTATTAAACCAGTCTTTGCTTAAAAACATTAAAAATCATTTTCCTACGTCCAAAATAGCAAGTATTATTGCAGTGTAACAACAGAATATTAATAAAAAAAATGCAGAATATATAGACATACTATCCCTAACTAACTAAAGCCAAACAATAATATTCTTTGCTAATATCAACTAATACCAAAATATGGCAACAGCGCCCTTCATTATGTATTTTCTGTGTAAATACTAGCACCTCAATAAAAAAAATAATGTGTCCTTATTTTTATCTGACTCCGCAAAAAATCAAAGATGCCGGCTTCTTTCATAGCATTACCACCGACCGCTGTCGGGTTTCTCGGAAAGAAACCTACGTCGCCGGGCGACAACTAAAATTCAGTTAATATTTTATTATAATTGATCCTGACGAATAAATGAATTTCATAAATGAATGAATTTTATAAATGAATGGTTTTTGCTGCCGAATTACTAGAATACAATGTTTCAGGGCAGATGACGGACCTATTCGATAATTTTTATTCGAATAGTTTTCAACGAATGTTTTCTTACTAACTATCGAATTATTCGAATGAATTGCAACTATCGAATGTTTCGATAGTATTCATTCGATAGTTCCCACTACTAGTTTGTATTTCGTTTAATGCTTTGTCAATAAAATATGGTGGATAGTGGTTTTTTATTAATATATTTTTGGTGTGGTTTATATCTTTGTTTA